GCAGCGGCTGAAAGCCGAAAGGAGGACCCAGCAGCGTGAGCACGAACGGACCCTGCAGAGCTGGGGGTCTTCAAAGCCTGGCTCTTTTATGACGTATGGACTTCAACTCCCAGAATTCCTCAGCCAGCATAGCTGGCTGAGGAATTCTGGGAGTTGAAGTCCACACGTCATAAAAGGGCCAGGCTTGAAGACCCCTGTTGCAGAGGATCAGGAATGACTGCCGGCAAAACCGGACCAGGGCGATTTTTCGGCCCGTCCCGAACCCTGCGCTGCCGGACGGGACGCAGCTCCCGGGCGATGCGCAATGCCTGCTCGGGATCCTGTCTCTCTGCGCAGGAGCTTCCCGGACGAGCATCCCAGCGGCTCCTTTTGTGGCGGCATCCGGAGCTCGCGGCCGCCTGCTCGTTCCTGCAGGGCTTCCCCATGCGCAGCCTGGACCCCGGGGCTGCCCTCTGCATCGTCGATTGGGAGGGTGCCTCGTCCTGCCCGGTCAGCCCTCTGGGAACCCCTCTAGGATGGGGGGGGGGTTCCTCAGTGCTCTTTGAGTTGGCTGGTTTCTTGCAGACCTTTCGTTACCCAACTAGGGAACATCATAGTTTAATGAAGAGAAGGACGAGGGGGGGACATGATAGCGGTGTTCCAATATCTCAGGGGCTGCCCCAAAGAAGAGGGAGTCAAGCTATTCTCCAAAGCGCCTGAAGGCAGGACAAGAAGCAATGGGTGGAAACTAACCAAAGAGAGAAGCAACCTAGAACTAAGGAGAAACTTCCTGACAGTTAGAACAATTAACCGGTGGAACAACCTGCCTCCAGAAGCGGTGAATGCTCCAACACTGGAAGTTTTTAAGAAGAGACTGGACAGCCATTTGTCCGAAATGGTATAGGGTTTCCTGCCTGAGCAGGGGGTTGGACTAGATGACCTCCAAGGTCCCTTCCAACCTTCTTCTTCTTCTTCTTCTTCTTCTTCTTCTTCTTCTTCTTCTTCTTCTTCTTCTTCTTCTTCTTATTATTATTATTATTATTATTATTATTATTATTATTATTATTATTATTATTATTATTATTATTATTATTATTACTACTACTACTAGAGGGGAGTAGGGTTTGTGGAGAGGAGGAGATGGAGACGGAGACTATGGAGTCCTTGGTGCTCTCTGAGCTGGCCTGTTTTCTTGCAGACCTTTCGTTACCCAACTAGGGAACTTCATCAGTGCTAGAGGGGAGTGGGGTTTATGGAAAAGAGGAGGAGGAGGACTGTGGGGGTCCTCTGTGCTCTCTGAGCTGGCTGGTTTTCTTGCAAACCTTTCATTGCCCAACTAGGGAACTTCATCAGTGCTAGAGGGGAGTGGGGTTTATGGAAAAGAGGAGGAGGACTGTGGGGATCCTCTGTGCTCTCTGAGCTGGCTGGTTTTCTTGCAGACCTTTCATTACCCAACTAAGGAACATCATCAGTGCTACGATAGAAGGGAGTGGGGTTTGCTGTCAGTTTATATTCTGGTGCCTTGTCTGTGTGGGGATGGAGAAAGTTCTTTGGTTGGGCTGTTTACTAATGGTGCTTCGGCAGCCATCCAAATTTTGATCACATGACCCTGGGGATGTCGCAATAATGATCATAGGTGCAAAAACTGGTCCTAAGTCATTTTTTTTCTGTGCCGTTGTAACTTTGAATGGTCACTAAATGAGCCGTTGAAAGTCGAGGACTTCCTGTACTTGAAGCAAAGGTGATGTTTACAGGCAGTTCTCGATTTACAACAGTTCATTTGGTGACCAAAGTTATAGCAGCACTGAAAAAAGTGACTGTTTTTCACACTTATGACTCTTGTGGGGGTTGGACTAGATGACCTCCAAGGTCCCTTCCAACTTTATTATTATTATTATTATAACAGGTTACTAACTTAACAGTTGCAGTGATGCACTTAATAACGGTGGCCATAAAGGTCGTAAAATGGGTCAATATTCACTTAACGAATGCCTCGCTTAGCAATAGAGGTTTTGGACTCAATTGTGGTTGTAAGTCAAGGACTGCCTGTATTTGAGAGCAAGACAGTGGCGTTGACAGCTGTTGAAGGTAGTGACCTCAAGCCTGTTCTGAAGTGGTTTCTTATATAGAAAAAGTGCCTCTATTGTTCCTAAAAATGTGTGTACTCAGCCCGCTTTCTGGGGATTACTGGAGAGCACACCGGATCCCATGAAGAGAAAATGCAGCTTGATACCTTGTAGGGTTTTACAATTTTAACTTTTGTGAGTCAGGGCGATGACAGGAATAGAATAGAATAGAATAGAATAGAATAGAATAGAATAGAATAGAATAGAATAGAAAGGGATCTTGGAGATCATCTAGTCCAACCCCTGCTCAAGCAGGAAACCCTATCCCAATTCAGACAAATGGTTATCCAATCTCTTCTTAAAAACTTCCAGTGTTGGAGCATTCACTGCTTCTGGAGGCAGGTTGTTCCACTGATTAATTGTTCTTAACGGTCAGGAAATTTCTCCTTAGTTCTAGGTTGCTTCTCTCTTTGGTTAGTTTCCATCCGTTGCTTCTTGTCCTGCCTTCAGGTGCTTTGGAGAAGAGGTTGACTCCCTCTTCTTTGTGGCAGCCCGAGATGTTGGGGAGACTGCTCTCATGTCACCCCTCATCCTTCTCTTCATTAAACTGGACATACCCAATTCCAGCAACCATTCCCTATATGTTTTAGCCTCCAGTCCCCTGATCATCTTTGTTGCTCTTCTCTGCACTTTCTAGAGTCTCAGCATCTTTGACGAGCTTGTGATAAACGTGAGTGAGAAAATCTATTGATAAAATGGGGAACTCTTAATATCTTGAGGCAATTTTCTTATTTGGGTAAGCCAATGTCTTTCGCCAATTTCATTTGCGTGGAAAGGGGCCTTGGCAGATTCAGCCCAAGCATCGAAAGGGCTTATGCATAAGTAGTCCTTCACTTAAACCATTCGTTTAGTGACTGTTCAAAATTGCAAAGGCACTGGAAAAAAGTCCTCGCACTTACGACTGTCACAGCACACACACACACACACACCATGTTCACGTGATCAAAATTTGGGCACTCAACAAACACAAGTGTGTATTTACAGTAGTTGCAATATCCCGGGGTTATTTGATCACCAGTTGAGATCTTCCCAGCTGGCTTTTGACAAACAGTCAGTGGGGGATGCTGACTTTGTTTAATGACCGCGTGATTCCCTCAACAATTGCAGTGATCTGCTTAACAATCATGGCAAAAAAAAATAATAATCGTAAATTAGGCGTGACTTATTTAACAACCTCCTTGCTTAGCTATGGAAATTCTGGTTACAACTGTGGTCGTAACTTGAGGACTTCCTGTAGTCTTTTGTTGTGTTGGCCTGGGACAGGGGTAGGCAACCTTGGCTCTTTTATGACTCGTGGACTTCAACTCCCAGAATTCCTGAGCCAGCATGGCTCAGCTTGGAAACCTCTCCCTTTTCCCTCAGCATGGCTGGCTCAGGAATTCTGGGAGTTGAAGTCCACGCGTCATAAAAGAGCCAAGGCTGCCTACTCCTGGCCTGGGAAGTCATTGAGGGAAAGAGACAAAAGGTGACATGGGGGGGGATTCGTCTTCCTTCCTTTAGAAGCAAAATGGCTGCCAGCTCCCCCAAAGGAACAGAGAGGAGTCACTGTTTTTGCCCGTCCAAGTTCATTTTGTTCCCTCGCTTCTTACCCACTCAAAGTGAATTTTACAAGGAGGATAAAACCCCTCCTATTTTCAACCTCCCAAAACAGGCAACAACTCGGGTGAGAAGAAAAAAAAAACATTTATTTTCAGCAAACAATTGTGGTAAACTACCATATATACGCGACCCACAATATATGTTGGAGAGGAAGCAGCCAGGCTGTGCAGTTGTTCCCCTGTTCCATTTTTCCAAAATCCACAAATGACAATCAGGAAAAAAACTGGGTACGTTGGTTTTGTGGGAAAGTTTGGATGGTCAAATATATGTGAACTACCTGTACAATAATCAAAATACAGCAACTACTTTAGTGGCAGAAATCTCAGAAAGCACCCTGTTTTGGTAATAATTCCACTGACGTTTATACTGTATAGATAAAACTAATAAAACTAATACAAAGGAAAAAGAGAAAGAAGAAATCTCCCTCTTCATCCCCAAATATTGTCAATATTGTCTCAACTCTCTTTATTTAATTCTGAGGGTTTGAGTTGCTGGTAATTGCACGCTGGCTGGGGAATTCTGGGAGCTGAAGTCCTCGCATCTTAAAGTTGCCAAATTTGAAAAAATCTGGACATATAGAGATATTCTAAATTCTGAAGGGAATTTAAAATCTAAACAAGAAATGGAAAATCAGGGTATCAACCTATCACGGTGGGCACATTTACAGGTGCAAACTAGATATGATAAAAACGTTAAACTGTATGGATTTTGTAAGGAACAAACTGTTTGATAAGACATTGTTAACTTCGGATGAGAAATTAATTAAGAAAATGTATAATTTTCTGTTAACTTTGGAAATGGAAACAAGTTAAAGAAATGATAAGATGGGTGAAAATTTTTGGATATAATATAGAATTAGAAAAATGGCAAAATTTATGGGAAAGAAATTATAAACTGACAATGTCAACTACTTATAAAGAAAATTTATATAAAATGTTCTATAGATGGCACTTGCCACCAGCAAGATTAGCAAAAATGTTTAAAAATATGTCAGATAGGTGTTGGAAATAGAAACATAAGTCAGGCACGTATTATCATGTTTGGTGGACATGTGATAAAAGTAAAGAATTATTGGAAAAAGATACATAATTGGCTAAAAAAGATGCTGAGAGAACATGTAGATTTCAAACCTGAACTTTTTTTATTAGGTATAATGTCAGAAAAGACCAACAAACAAAGCTTATATTTGACCTTGCAATGTCACAACAGCGGCAAGAATTATATATGCGCAATATTGAAAAAATGAAGGAATACCATCAGATGAAGAAATAATTAAAAAAATACTAGAATGCGCAGAGATGGATAGATTGACTATGAGACTGAAAGAAAAAGAAGAAACAATATTATCAAACTTGGGACTTATTCTATCGATGGCTAGAGGAAAGAATAAAGGATTAGGAATTAAATATGTATTAGCAAATGTAAAGCCAGACAGCATGTTGGTTGAAAAACTATTACTGTATATATAGAAAAAATTAAAAAAAGAAAAAAAGAAAGAAAACAAAATCATTTACTTTCAGCAAAGAATTTTGGCAAACTTATGCAATTGTTAAAGAGGTAGCAGCCTGGCTGTTCCATTTTTCTAAATCATGAAAATCCATAAATAGCAATCTAGGAAAAACAGCACGTCTGAATGCCACACTTGATATATTGATATATGGATTATCAAATATATGGTCAAATAACTCCACAATAATTGTTTAAAATGAAATTAGCCACTTTAGTGGCAGAAATCTCAGAATACACATTGCTTTTAGTAATGTGTTTCATCAAAGATTAAACAGATAAAACTAACACAAAGGGAAAAAAAACACGAAACACCCATCTTTATCCCCAGCAAGTATAATGAAGATTAATTTCAGTTATAAATCTCTCTTAAAGTAAAACCAAGAAACTCTTCATCCTATTCCTCATCCCATTCTCTACAAACCCATCTCTAAAACCACATCTTTAACCTATAATCTCAATTCACTAAGATTAACTAGCAAAAGCCCATTGAGGGTGTTATGCAGGCTACCTACTAGAAATTATACCCAGTAAACTCAGTTTGAATCCTTTAGATTCCACAATTATAAGCCCATAAGATTTTTTTTTCTCCTCCGTTCCTCAAGCAAAATGAAAAAAGGTTGCTGATTCGGTGATAAAAGCGATGAGAAAAGACACAAAATATATTGTGGTTCAGGCATGTTGTGGAAGGGCTCCTCCTGAGAGTCCGGCCTAACTCAGAAAAGGGCCGATCCCCTTTTCTTTCTTCTCTCCGTTATGCTGCAAGCTTGGCACTCCAAAGTGGCCCTGCAAGGAAAGTGGAAAATGCAGGGATGGTTAATTTGAGAGGATAAGGTGAGGAAGCCCAGAGTCCAAACTGAACCAGCCAAGTAAAGGAGAAACAGCAACCTCAAGAAAGGAATATGCTGGGTGAGATTTACAAGAGAAGATGGACGGAGCAAGGACTGGCTGCTGAGGTGGGCAAAAACTGCTCCACGAAGTATAACAAGCATCGATGCCTCCCTTCATATACACAGATCTAGCTCTAGTCCAGAGGTCTTCAAACCTGGCCCTTTTATGACTTGTGGACTTCAACTCCCAGAATTCCTCAGCCAGGCACACGTGCCTGGCTGAGGAATTCTGGGAGTTGAAGTCCACAAGTCATAAAAGGGCCAGGTTTGAAGACCTCTGCTCTAGTCCATTTCTCCCCCCCCCCCCGCATCCCCGAGTTTCCTGGGATCTCTAGAGGGAGGGATTCCCAGATGGACTCAAGGAGGGGAGAGAAGCCCCTGCTCCATCCATGACTGCAGGACCCTCAGGAAGTGGCTCATTTGCCCCCTCCATAAGGGAACGCTCTGATCTCTTTGCAGAATAACAACAACAAAACAACAATACTACTACTACTACTACTACTACTACTACTACTACTACTACTAATAATAATAATAATAATAATAATAATAATAATAATAATAATAATAATAATAATAATAATAATAGAGTTGGAAGGGACTTTGGAGGTCATCTAGTCCAACCCCCTGCTCAAGTAGAAAACCCTATACCATTTCAGACAAATGGCTGTCCAGACTCTTCTTAACAACTTCCGGTGTTGGAGCATTCACCGCTTCTGGAGGCAGGTTATTCCACTGGGTAATTGTTCTAACTGTCAGGAAATTCCTCCTTAGTTCTAGGTTGCTTCTCTCCACCCATTGCTTCTTGTCCTGCCTTCAGGCACTTTGGAGAATAACTTGACCCCCTCTTCTTTGGGGCAGTCCCTGAGATATTGGAAGACTGCTATCATGTCACCCCTAATCCTTCTCTTCGTTAAACTAGACATACCCAATTCCAGCAACCGTTCCTTATATGTTTTAGCCTCCAGTCCCCTGATCATCTTTATTGCTCTTCTCTGCACTCTTTCTAGAGTCTCAACATCTTTTTTATGTCGTGGTGACCAACACTGAGCCTCCTGATCCAAGATAGTCAGATCCTGAAAGGGGCCAGAGTCTGGCCTTGCAGGATAAGACTTGGGGGGCAGGCAGACACCCTCCCCCAGAGTCCCACTGCCTCTCCCCCCAAAGTGCTTACCTTGCCGCGTTTGAGATGACTAGCAGAGAGAAGAGGGATTTCCCAAGGTATCTTCACCATCGGTTGATCCTTGGGACCTCACATCCCTTACCTCCCTTCCTCCCTCTCACCCCCCTACCGCCCTCACCAGAGCCACTCACCTGCCGGGGGTCTACAAAGGGGACGGATTGTTGCCTGCATTGGGGAGAAAGACACAGAGTGAGTCTCTGCCTTGTCCTAATCCTCTCTCTCTCTCCACCATTCGACCTCTGCAGCTTCTCAGTGGAGCCCAGAATACGCCACCACTGCAGCTTCTCAGCGGAGACCAGAATACGCCACCAGAATGGTCTCTTAACCACTGGAGCTCATGGCATTTCTGGTGAAGTCCCTATTCCAGGGGTGTCAAACTCAATTTCATGGAGGGCCGCATCAGCTTTGCGGTTGCCCTTGAGGGCCCGGGTGGGTGCGGCCAGGGTGGGTGCGGTCTACTGGGTGGGCGTGGATGGAGTAGGTGTGGCCTACTGGGTGGGCATGGCCAGCTCTACATCATCCCCGTCAAGGGTGCCTGTGAGGGCCTGGGCAGGAGTGGGACAGATCTGAGGGTCTCTGGCAGAAGGGGTTGGGACCGGGGCAAGCGCCAAGGCATGGTCCATTTGTTCATTCCTCACAAAGGGTGACACCTCCCCAGCATGCACCCAGGGGGTGGGGCCGATGCGGCAGGGGCCGGTCCCTCGCTGTTTCCAGACGGCCTTGTGGAGCTAAGACTGAATGCGTTTCGGCATAGATGGCCACCACAAAATTGTACATTGGCTCCCGGCCGGCCTGGGCCAGGGCCAAGGCAGCAGGGGCCATTCCCTCATTGTTTCCAGGATGGCTTCGCGGGCCACATGAAACCACTCCGCGGGCCGCATCCGGCCCCCGGGCCTTGTGTTTTGACAGGTCTGCCCTATTCCCTCTCCCTCTCCCCATCTCCAGACTCGTTGCTTCAAAGGGGGGGCCAGGCTCTGCCAAGCAGACTCTGGAGCTTCCTTCCCTGTCTGAAGGAAGGAATGAGACTGAAACATCCAACAGAGATCCAAGTGAATTTTTTGACTGTCAGAAATCAAAGAAAAGAGAAGATTTGAGAAAAAAAAAAAGAGGAACACTTATTTTGTACAAGGGTAAAAGGAGAAGCAAGGGAAAAAAAAAAGAACTAAGAGAACAACATGTCCTCTGAATAAACAAAAAACAACAACAACCCACAATTGTCCCACCCACTGCTCTTCTTCACTCAGGAGCTTACCTGAAGTGTTTTCCAAGAAATACTGGAAAAGAATGAAAAGGGGGGGGGGTCTGTGTCAGTCTCTTGGCTGATAGGAAGAGATGCAGAAACTCAGATCTTTCCGATTCCAGCTCCCTCCCTCCCACCCACAGACACAATCAAACACACACACAAATGCACCCAAAGGGGTTTCAACTAATTTAGCTTGAGTTTGCATATGTAGAATAGAATAACAGAGTTCGAAGGGACCCTGGAGGTCTTCTAGTCCAACCCCCTGCTCAGGCAGGAAACCCTATACCATTTCGGACAAATGGCTGGCCAGTCTCTTCTTAAAAACGTCCACTTTTGGAGCATTCACAACCTCTGGAGGCAGGTTGTTCCACTAATTAATTGTTCTATCTGTCAGTAAATTTCTCCATAGTTCCAGGTTGCTTCTCTCCTTGGTAAGGCCACACTTGGAATACTGCAGCCAGTTTTGGTCACCACAATGTAAAAAAGATATTGAGACTCTAGAGCAGGGGTCTTGAAACTTGGCCCATTTATGACTTGCGGACTTCAACTCCCAGAATTCCTCAGCCAGCGTTGCGGAGTCCGCAAGTCATAAGTTGAAGTCCGCAAGTCATAAAAGGGCCAAGTTTCAAGACCCCTGCTCTAGAGTCTCAATATCTTTTTTACATTGTGGTGACCAAAACTGGCTGCAGTATTCCAAGTGTGGCCTTACCAAGGCCTTGTAAAGTGGTATCAGTTAAGAGACACAGGAAAGAATTCTTAACATTTATATCTATATAAATAAAAATGTAAATGTTCGTTTGTTCAAAATCTTAAATCTCCGAAAGTTCTTCACCGATTGCTTTGAAATTTTGACACAACATTGCATTCGAATACGCGCGTGTTTTTATATACCTATATTATATAGATGTCACACCTGTGACAGATAAAAACATGTTTTTGAAAAACAGCGCCATCTGTTGGATGTAAAAGCAACACACGCTTTTACCAGACAGCCACAGCAACGCGTGGCCGGGTAGAGCTAGTATCTCTATATAGAACGATATTTCGGCAATTCTTGAGCCAGAGGGCAGAACTGACATGAAAATAATAGAGGGCTGCAAAGCGTCTTTTCCCAATCAGCTCATAATTGGAGAGTCTTGTGGAGTGAGACCAAGAGGAGATCTAGCTAGCATCCACCAAAGCCCCTTTTCTCTCAAAATGCCTCCTTTTCATCACCACTTTTACAGAGTTTCCTGACTATGTTATGGCCAAGCCTTTCCTTTCCACCTTCATGGAAAACAGAGCAGCTTTTCAATCAGAGGGATCTTCCACCCAGCTGGGTCTTCTCATCCTCTTGAGCAGGCATGTCAAACTCGCGACGTCGCACGACATGTCGTGACTTTTCCCCCATTGCTGGCAATGGAGTGGGCACAGTTTCGGCATGACGCATCCGGCCCATGGGCCGGGAGTTTGACATGCCTGCTCTTCAGGGTTCTTGGCCTCAGTTGTATCTCCTTGGGGTCTCCACTCCCAAGAATAGCCTGGCTGTTATGAGAAGGGGGCCTCCTTTCCCAGCCTAGTTTTTAGGAGGAAATAGCACAACTCTGCAGCTTCATGAGATTCTTTTGTGTTTAAACACACACACACACACACATACACACTCATCAACTGATGGTGCCTCTGGTCCCTGCTCTAAGTTGGAGATTACATGTAAAGAGGACAATTCACTCACTTGGTGCTTTTTGTAGTCATCTCTGTATCTCTTTTGTAGTCTCTCTGCAAAGACAAAAATCAGTGAAAGCTCAAAGAATCCACCAGAGACCATCCAATCTCTCCCTCTCTGGAAGGAATACCTTCAGGAGATATTTTGCAGTTACTTTGTCTCATTAATAAAGACAGAAAGATTTTCAAAAACCAAATGTATCTCCTGATTTGCCCCAAGGGAGACCTGCTGCCTCCGAGATGGATGGAGGGGAAAGGGGGGAAGCAGCAGAAGCAGCTGGGAGGGGAGGAAGATTTTCATGGAAATCCTTCTCTGCTGCTCTTCGACCAAAGACTTTGAAAGGGACGGAACTGGGATGCCTCTTCCCAACACAGAAGAAGACAGGACTGTCCCAACCTCAGACTCAGCCAAGTCAAGACTGGAGTCCCAGCAAGAGGCCAAGATCTCAGAGGCTCCCCAAGAGGGCTGGGAAAACAGGACAGGGGGAAGCCCAGAAGAAGCTCCCCAAAGAGAGAGACTTGGGAGGAACCTCCCCATCTTCCTTCCATCACCCAGAAAAAGATACTTACTGAAGAATACATAGATCCCAACAATCACGCCCAGCAGGAGAGCCACAATGCAACCGATGATGAGCCCCATGGAGTTCCGCATGGATTTTGGTTCTGAATTGGGAGAAAAAGCAGATCATTGAAGGAGAGTCCAAAACAATCATCCCAAGTTACGAGTCCGATGCAAGAATTTAAAAACTTCCTCTCCCGCCCAAGACTCTCCTCCTGCCCTGAAATATCTTTTTTCAGACATTGGAGGGACCACCAAATATTTGAAGATATATTTGAAGGGGTTGTTGTTAGTTGCAAAGTTGTGTCCAACCCATCATGACCCCATGGACAACATTCTTCCAGGCCTTCCTGTCCTCTACCATCTTCTGGAGTCCATTTAAGCTCACGCCTACTGCTTCAGTGACTCCATCCAGCCACCTCATTCTCTGTCGTCCCCTTCTTCTGTTGCCCTCAATCTTTCTCATTAGGCTCTTCTCCAGGGAGTCCTTCCTTCTCATTAGATGGCCAAAGTACTTGAGTTTCAGCTTCAGGATCTGGCCTTCTAAAGAGCAGTCAGGGTTGATCTTCTCTAGGACTGACCAGTTTGAATGCCTTGCAGTCCAGGGGACTCGCAGGAGTCTTCTCCAGCACCATAGTTCAAAGGCCTCAATTCTTTGTCGCTCAGCCTTTCTTATGGTCCAACTTTCACAGCCATACATTGCAACTGGGAAAACCATGGCCTTGGACTATACGCACTTTTGTTGGCAGGGTGACGTCTCTGCTTTTTAGTATGCTGTCTAGATTTGCCATAGCTTTCCTTCCCAGGAGCAAGCGTCTTTTAATTTCTTGGCTGTGGTGATCTTGGAGCCCAGGAAGATAAAATCTGTCACTATCTCCATTTCTTCCCCATCTATTTGCCAGGAATTGAGAGGGCCGGATGCCATGATCTTGGTTTTCTAAGATATGCAGATGATACCACTCTAATGGCAGAAAGTGAAGAGGAACTAAAGAACCTCTTGATGCGGGTGAAGGAGGAGAGTGCAAAAGTTGGCTTGAAACTCAACATTTGAAGGGGAGTGAAGAGCTAATTTGCAAGATTAAGGCCTCGGGCCACAAACTCTGAGATTGTGACCTAAGGGTGCTCTTTCCAAGAGGCAACTGGACTTCCTTGTTTTTTCTTTGAAGACGTTTTGCTTCTCATGTAGGACGCTTCTTCAGCTCTGACTGGATGGCGGGGAATGGAAGGGTTTATATTTGAGGCAGAAGCTTGTCCACCTTCAGATAAAACACCCAGACACAAACTGAGCAATGTGGTATATGCAGCACAGTGTAATGAGACATGTGCAGATCTGAGAAAACAAAACAACCACTTCATAAGCAGCGGAGGAAGGAAAGAAACTGGGAAGCAACAGAGGCTAAAAGAGGAACTAAGGGCATTTCATAAGGATTGGCCAACTCTTGCGATGAGATCTGTTGTTTCCCTTAAATTGGGGATGTCAAACTGCCGGCCCACAGTCCGGATGCATGGTAGCAAAATCACACCCACCCTGCTGCCGGCAATGGCAAAAAAGTCGCGACATGTCACGTGATGTTGCAAGTTTGACACCCCTGCCTTAAATCATCTGAAGCCAGTTCTATGGTCTGGTCCAGGGGATAGGCAACCTTGGCTCTTTTATGACTCGTGGACTTCAACTCCCAGAATTCCTGAGCCAGCATGGCTCAGCTTGGAAACCTCTCCCTTTCCCCTCAGCATGGCTGGCTCAGGAATTCTGGGAGTTGAAGTCCACGAGTCACAAAAGAGCCAAGGTTGCCTACCCCTGGTCTGGTCCCTGCAGCTTCACCAACCTCCACAATGGAAAAAAACAATGGATCAAAGCTCCAGTAGGCTCACATCTGGGGGTCAGATTCCTCTCCCTCAACCCTCCAGCCTGCCAAAGAGCCCAGCGTTTCCCTCCCTGCAGCCTCTCACCCTCCAGGGCCACATCCAGAGGCTCCTGCAGGCCGTCGTGCTCCACGTGGCACCGATAGCGGCCCCTCTCTTTGGGATCGATCTGGATGCTGAGCCAGCGGTGATAGGTCCCATCCGCGTTGGGGACCACGGAGCCACGGAGGGTGTCCTGCAGCCAGACCTCCCCATCCCTCGTCCAGAAGGCATCGATCTCCCTGGGGTAGAAGCCATCCAGGCGGCAGATATGCGTCTCCATCCCATCCTCCACCTCCATCTTGCTGCTCACCGTCGCCTCTGGGGGCTCTGCGGAAATATCAAAATTAACTGTGAGCCCCTCCAGAGCCTGGAAAGCGGATCAAAAAATTGAAGGAGCAGGAAAATCTCCCACGACTTAGTTTTAGCCCAAGGACTTCACCTTTTACACTTGCTGCCTGATCTACACAGACACTTGATCCTACCTAGTCAGACACAGTTTGCGAGGGCAGAAAGTGCATTTCCTGGTCCATGGAATGGCGGCCTGCCAAGGGGAACCAATCAGGGCTTCCGGCGTCATGGAGAGGGGCTGGAAGGGGAGGGGGAGGATTCCCTCCTGGGCAGTCAGACTGCAGACCAGGAACCCAAAGGGGCCGAATGTGCACAAGAAATCCAACCATAAAGGAGGAAAGTCCAGCCTGGATCCAGAGGCTCACCTGTCCTCAGCAGCGTCTCCTTCCCGTAGGACAGGTACCTCTCCAGCCACTCAATGCAGATTTCCTCCAGGTAGGACTTCTGTCCCTGATTAAATCCTGGAAGAGCGTTCCATTTCCTCTGGGTGATCTGGGCCTGGGGTTGGAGAGCCACCCAGGTGAGTCTCTCCTTGTCGAAGGTGATGAAGGTCCTCCCATCGTAGCCAAACTGCCAAAATCCTCCTTTGCTCCTATCAGCCTGGAGCTCACAGCCATATATCTCCTGTATTATGTGAAAGCCTGAAATAGGAACAAGATAATGGTTTGGGGAGTCCGCAAGAGAGACAGAGACCTCGTTCCCTGCAGGGATTTTTTTTTTTAATATGAAATTTTTATTAATTTTTCAATTAGGAACAATAACATACTACATTTAATCACAATATCAACCAAAAAAAGTAACACTACTCAATACATTCACGGAAGTGTCCGGTGTCCCCCCCCCCTGCACCCCCCTCTTTCACTTTCCACACCTTCCTCCCCCCCGAACCTACAACCTCTCCTCCTTCCTCCCTCTCGACCTACCTCCCTTCTCTTTCCACCATCCCGTCCGGTGCAGTTGGGGTAACCACCGGGCACCTCCTCAGAAAATTACATATGAATCTACAACACATTAATTTTTATACATCAATCTATTCCCTTTCCCCCCTCCCCCCCCAGACTTCCCAGAGCTGATCCAGGAAATAAACATACAGTAATCCAAATCTATCCAAAGCTACTCATCATTACTACACACTAGTATAAATTTACTATGACTCTAAAATAACATTAAAATACCCACAAATGTTAGTATTATAACATTATTTGTTTTTGTATATATATAATAAAAAAATTTTTTTAATCAAAAGCTACATGATAATTATTCAGTCCATATTTTCTCTGGATATAATCTATCCATCTTCTCCATATTGAAATAAATTTCTCCTGAGAATGATCCTTCAGGAATGCGGATATTTTTGCCATCTCTGCAAAATACGATACCTTCTGTCTCCAATCATCCATAGTTGGTAACATCTTCTTTTTCCAATTTTGAGCAACTAATATCCTTGCTGCTGTTATACAATACAACATCAATTTCATTTCTTTTTGATCCAAATTATCCATAATACCCAATAGAAATAACTGCGGTGTAAATTTTATCTTTTTCTTAAAAATCTGTTGGATATTCCACCAAATCTTAATCCAAAAGGCTTTAACATCCCTACATGTCCACCAGATGTGGTAATAACTTGCATCCATATTATCACATCTCCAACATTTTGGTTGCAAATTCGGATACATGCAAGACAATTTTTGGGGATCCAGATGCCATCTATAAAACCCTGCAGGGATTTTGACACAGGCACTGACACCCCCATTTCCTCCCTAGCAATCAAGGGAAAGAAAGCCCCCATCATTACCTGCCCTTCTCCCCTCCCTCGACCTGCCTCCTTCCTGCATTCCCCCCCCCCCCCAGGATGGAGCCCCTGAACCTCCCCAGAAAAAGGGAAGCTGGAAAAGCCAGCGGAGGATCCCGAGGGAGACCGAGAAAAGAAGGAGTCGCAGAAGAAACGGAGGGACGGAGCCTCTCCCTTCTTTTCTTCTGCAGTTCCTCTTTTGGGGAGATTCTTGGGGGGAAAGGAAGGGATCCCAGAGAGGGTATTTCTTTCATTTTCCATCCATTTCTATCCCTTTTCTCGCTCTGTTCCTCCTGTCTCACTGTCCTGGCAGGGAGGGACGCCCTCTGTCTACCCTGAGGAGCCCCCAAACCATCTTCCTGTCCCTCTTTTCAGGCCTTCACACATTGCAGCTGATGTATGGCTGTGAGCTCTGAAAAGACGGGACCAAGGAAGGTTTTAATCAGTTTGGATACAATGGGAGGACCTTTCTTGCCTTCGACAAAGACACCCCCATGTGGGTGGCTCCCGGAATTCTGGGAGTTGAAGTCCACGAGTCATAAAAGAGCCAAGATTGCCTACTCCTGATTTAAACCCTGAAAATACCTCCCATTGTCTTGCATGTCTGAATGCTCCCCTCAAATTCTCCAAAAAGGAAAACTGACACCCCCATTTCTTCCTCAAGGGAAAGAAGGGCCTCCCCAATTGCCCCCCCTCCCTTCTACACCCTTCATCGTTGGCTTGGGTCTCTGAATCCGGATGCGGTCCCTGGAACGACGGGCCTTATCCAACAAAATGAATTTTAATGTGGGGGAAAAACAAAGTTTCACATGTAGGCAGGAAAAATCAAAGACACAAGTACACATTAGGGAAGACCTGGCTCAAAAACAATAACTGTGAGAGGGACCTGGGATCCTAGTGGACGATCCACTTAACCATGAGCCAGCAGTGTGCGGCTGCCGCCAAATAAGCTAAGACAATCCTGGGTTGTATAAACAGTAAGCATAGAATCAAGATCACGCGAAGTATTAGCACCGCTTTGTAAAACCCTAGTGAGACCACACCTGGAATACTGCAGCCAATTTTGGTCACTACAAAATAACATGTTGAGACCTTGGGGAGAGTTCAGAGAAGAGCAGCTAAGATGATCAAAGGCCAGGAGACTAAAACATAGGAAGAACGGCTGCGGGACTTGGGGTTGGCTAGTTTAAAGAAAAGAAGCCATAGGGGAGACATGATAACAGTATTCCAGTATTTGAGGGGCTGCCACAAAGAACAGGGGGTCAGGTTGTTCACCAGAGCACCAGAGGGAAGGACGAGAAACAATGGTTGGAAACTGATCAAAGAGAGAAGCAACCTGGAATTAAGGAGAAACTTCCTAACAGTGAGGACAATTAACCAGTGGAACAGCTTGCCTTCAGAAGTCATGGGCGCTCCATCACTGGAGGTTTTTAAGAAGAGGCTGGACAGTCACTTGTCTGAGTTGGTATAGGTTCTCCTGCTTGAGCTATTCTATTCTATTCTATTCTATTCTATTCTATTCTATTCTATTCTATTCTATTCTAATTCTAATTCTATTCTAATTCTATCTCTATTCTATTCTAATTCTATTCTATAATTCTATTGTAATTCTAATCTAATTCTATTCTATAATTCTATTCTAATTCTATTCTATCTAATTCTATTCTATTCTATTCTAATTCTAATTAATTCTATTCTATTCTAATCCTAATTCTATAATTCTATTCTATTCTATTCTATTCTAATTAATTCTATTCTATTCTAATCCTAATTCTATAATTCTATTCTATAATTCTATTCTATTCTATTTTATTCTATTCTATTCTAATTCTATTCTAATTCTATTCTATTCTATTCTAATTCTATCTCTATTCTATTCTATAATTCTATTCTATAATTCTATTCTAATTCTAATTCTAATCTAATTCTATTCTATTCTATTCTAATTCTAACTCTATTCTATTCTATTCTAATTCTATTCTAATTCTAATCTAATTCTATTCTATAATTCTATTCTAATTCTATTCTATCTAATTCTATTCTATTCTATTCTATTCTAATTCTAATTAATTCTATTCTATTCTAATCCTAATTCTATAATTCTATTCTATTCTATTCTAATTAATTCTATTCTATTCTAATCCTAATTCTATAATTCTATTCTATAATTCTATTCTATTCTATTCTAATTCTATTCTATTCTAATTAATTCTATTCTATTCTAATCCTAATTCTATAATTTTATTCTATAATTCTATTCTATTCTATTCTATTCTATTCTATTCTATTCTAATTCTAATTCTATTCTAATTCTAATTCCATTCTATTCCCTGCACATCACCAGGAAAAAGACAGTTGGCAAATCTCCCTTCGGAGTTTTAAAATTATTTAGTAGCTGTAAACTGCACAGAGAACTTTAGTTATGGGCCAAGGATAAAATTACATTAATTATTTAAAAAAGAATAAACATATTTTAAAAAATCTTTTGTAAAAAAAATATGGCAGCAGCCTTTCCTCTGGGAGCGATCCTTTCTCCTCTCTCGTGCTCCGGGGGAGGGGGGAGGAGGCAGGAGGAACCACCTAACCCATCCGTTCACCTTCACTCTGATTGTAGCGAATCCTCAGAGTCTCCAGGCCGTCTCTGAAGTTCTCCTCACTGTCACGTAGTCCCTGGGTCTCTCTGTCCCAGTATTGGGGGTCCTCCTTCCCCACCTTCTCCATCCAGGAGACTCGAGGCTGCATCCTCCGGCTGTGGCTGTCGTAGTGAACAAAGACCTGACCGTCCACGTACCCCACAGTGACATAGTGGGGCAGCTCCTGACTGGGCTCCGAGATGGAGGAGTAGAAATACTTCAGGGAGTGCGAGGAGGCGCCTGGAAGGGACCCAGAGGGGCAGAGTTATTGGGGTTCAGATGAGGCTAACAGCTTCCGTGTCTGAGTGGAGAAACAAGCCGGATCCCCCCCAGCACCAGAAAGAGCCACCAAGCCTTGCCCAAAGCAGGAAGTACGACCCAAGAGGAGGGGGGTTGTGTGAAGGCAGCCGGGGTGTGTGTGGTGGTGTTCGTGAATTGATCTGAACCCGTGCAAATGCCGCTTTCCGACAACCTCCGCTTTGAGGGAGGGAAAGAACGGCGCCCAGGTAGACTTGACTGACATCTGGAGGGGCCACCTTTATCCTGCTTGCAGAGGGCCTCTCCTGGGAGAGGGGGAGGGGGGGGAAGGAGAGAAAGAGGCAGCAGAGTCCCACCCACGCTTTGGGGGGGGGGTTCCTTCTGAGAGGGGCCCTGGGGGAGCGGACGAGAAAGAGGACCGAATCGGGTAAACTTTAGAGGGCGGAGCGAGCGAGCGAGCGAGACTTCCTGAATTGATTCCCCCCCCCTCCAGTAGAAAAGCGCCCCCGAAGGGGACTCACCGAGGCAGCTCTCCCGCAGAGCGACGGCCACCAACACCAGGAGCAAGAGGGACGCAGGGCGCAGAGCCATCCTGGCCCCGATCCACAATTTGCTCCTCTTTTATCCGGAAGTCGCAGGCAGACAAAGACGCGCTCCTGGTGATCAACAACGCAACAACCCAGAGGAGAAGCTGGTGATTGGCCAGGCTTAACCAGTAGAAAAAAAATGTATGCCCATGTCGTCATTGTTGCTAGGCAGACGTCCAGGCGCAACCGGACATTCAGGCGGGGAAAGGAAAGCGAAAGTTCCATCAGGAAATCCCCTGCCAGCCATTCCGCCTCTTGGGGAGAGGGGCAGAAATAGGGGGGGGGGGGGGGGGGGGGGGAAAAACGGGAGGGTCCTCTGGGCCTGGGGGGAGGGAAGCAGGGGAAGGGGAGGCTCCCTTTCAGACCCCATGCAACCCCCTGCCCCACAGCTGGGCAGCTGGAGGAGTGTGAGAAAAAAGCAACGAATTTAGATGGCTGTTCCCTCCTTTGGCAGTCCTGAGACTCAAACAATACAGGTGGTCCTCGACTTACAACAGTTCGTTTAGTGACCGTTCGAAGCTGCAACTAGGGTTGCCAGGTCTGCTTCCAAAAAATAGCGGACAAGCGGGGGGTGGGGGGGTTAAGTAGTAAAAAAAGTAGACTGTACAGCTTTAGATTACGTACCATTTCATCATAAAGCTTTTGAATAAAAAAAATGTCCACTATTTTGTGAAAAAAAATAGTGAACATAATGTGAAAAAAGTGGACTGTCCACTCAAATAGTGGACACCTGGCAACCCTAGCTGCAACGGCACTGAAAGTGACATGGCCATTTTTCACACTTACGACCGTTGCGACGTTCCCACGGTCATTGGGATGCTTGACAAGCGGCTCGCATTTTATGACGGTCGCCGTGTCCCGGAGGGGGTCACGTGATCCCCTTTTGCGACTTTCCGACGAGCAAAGTCAGCGGGGAAACCAGATTCACGTAACAATCGTGTTACTAGTTGAAGAACTTAAATTAGAATAGAAGGGGCCTTGGAGGTCTTCTAGTCCAGCCCCCTGCTCAAGCAGGAGAACTTATACCAGGGGTAGGCAACCTTGGCTCTTTTATGCCTCGTGGACTTCAACTCCTAGAATTCCTGACCCAGCCATGCTGAGGGGAAAGGGAGAGGTGTCCAAGCTGAGCAATGCTGGCTCAGGAATTCTGGGAGTTGAAGTCCACGAGTCATAAAAGAGCCAAGATTGCATACCCCTGACTTATACCATCTCAGACAAGTGACTGTCTAGCCCAGGGATAAGCAACCTTGGCTCTTTTATGACTCCTGGACTTCAACTCCCAGAATTCCTGAGCCAGCCATGCTGAGGGGAAAGGGAGAGGTGTCCAAGCTGAGCCATGCTGGCTCAGGAATTCTGGGTGTTGAAGTCCACGAGTCATAAAAGAGCCAAAGGTTGCCTACTCCTGGGCTAGCCTCTTCTTCTTCTGCTGTGATTCACTTAACAAAATGGGGCGAGAAAGGTCGTCAAATGGGGCAAAATTCACTGAACAAGTGTCTCACTTAACAACATCAACGTTGGGCTCAACTGTCGTAAGTCAAAGACTCTCTGTAAATAACTATTCTGGCTACAATCCTTGTTATTATAATTGCTGAATGTAGTTGATGTTACAAGCCCTGAGAAACAAAGAAAGTTATTTTTAGGTCTTCAGCCATTTCCTGCTCATTTCCCACCCATATGGACAGAGTAGAAATTTAAGCGTGAAAGGGAGGTCTGTCCAGGTAGTCCTCGAATTACAACCCCAATGGAGCCCAACATTTCTGTTGCTAAGCTAAACATTTTGTTAAGTGGGTTTTGCCCCCATTTTATGATCTTTTTTGCCTCAGTGGTTAAGTGAATCATCACAGTCTCCCAGTTGTTAAGTGAATCCAGCCTCTCCATTGACTTTGCTTGTCACGAGGTCGCAAAAGGGGATCACAAGACCTTGGGACACAGCAAGCAACGGTCGTAAGTATGAACCAGTTGCCAAACATTCTGAATTTTGATCACATGATCATGGGGATGTTGCAAAGGTCGTGACTGAAAAAATGGTCATCTCTTTTTTTCAGTGCCGTTGTAACTTTGAACGGTCACTAAATGAATTGTTGTAAGTTGAGGACTACCTGTATTTCTACCGATGAAGAAGGCTGAAGTCATTAGGGCAGGGATAGGCAACCTTGGCTCTTTTATGACTCGTGGACTTCAACTCCCAGAATTCCTGAGCCAGCATGGCTGGGTCAGGAATTCTGGGAGCTGAAGTCCACAAGTCATAAAAGAGCCAAGGTTGCCTACCCCTGCATTAGGGAGACCTTCTAATTGGTTTTGAGTCTCTGGAAACTGGCCGTCTGTAGGGCGAAGCCTCACCTTCAGATCCTCTCTTTTCTGTCTGGGGTCACAGCAGGGGCAACCTCGTCTGTTTACGGAACCTGGCTAGTTTATGGCGCCGCATCTCGTGCAAACAGGATTCTCACACCGAGCACACAGTCCACCTTTGACAGGGCGTCTGCTGAGCATGCTTTTCTTAAGGACTTCAATACAGGTACAACAGTTGAGTCAGCGATGTGCAGAATATGTGGGTCTATACCGGGGTAGGCAACCTTGGCTCTTTTATGACTCGTGGACTTCAATTCTGGGAGTTGAAGTCCACGAGTCATAAAAGAGCCAAGATTGCCTACCCCTGGTCTATACATATGTTGTATATAGTATGTTTAGGTGTGTGTCATGTATGTGTTTCATTTTGAGAGCGGACTAACTTTCATTTTTGATGTGTGCCGTTGTGCCCGCAGTAAAAAAAATGACAATAAAGGTTATCTTATCTTGAGGCGCCCTTCCCTCCCTCCATCCCTGGTCCCCCCAGCACAGTCACCTATCTGCCTTGCGCCGGTGGCCTGGGCGGCCACTCCCACCGCCACTCCCCCTCCCTCCGGTCCTGGTGACAGATCTGCAAGGCTCCCAAATTTGCAGAGCGGCCACGGTATTTTTTTTTTTTTAATTTGCATTGCACTCTGCCCCCCCCCCAGCCCTTGTAATTGCCTGTCACCAATTGCACGCTGCCTCGCAGCACCATGGCTTCTGCCTGCCACCTGATTGGCTGGGGGCTATTTGTCCTGTGCAGCCAAAGGCCCGGGACAAAGGGCACCTGAGCGAATGGGCCGGGGCCGGACGGCAAAGGCCAAGGCCTCATTGGCTGTGGAGAATGGCCGGGGGAGGGCCAGCGGAGGAGGAGTAGTATTCAATTATCTCTATTCTCAGAGCTGCTTCCTCACGGCTGGAGCAGTTCCCAGCAGGCCTATTGGTTTCAGAAAGCAGCCTCCAGATGTGGGGGGATTGGCTAGGAGTCCGAGGGGCAGGGAATGATGGGAGTTGAGGTCTCACCCATCCAGAGGGCCCCGGGTGGCCCCTGAAAAAAAAACATTACCTCAGTTTAAAAAGTCTCCCTGGTTGCAACTCTTAACGGCAGGACTTGTGGAATGTGTTTGTGTGAAGCATAAAAGTATTATTTTCAGACTATTCACTGGGGAATTCTGCATAGGAATTTCTGCTTCAGTACAGGTGGGACACTGAAGGCAGGACAGGCAGCAACGGATGGAAACTAACCATGGAGAGAAGCAACCTAGAACTAAGGAGAAATTTCCTGACAGTGAGAACAATTAATCAGAGGAACAACCTGCTCCAACACTGGAAGTTTTTAAGAAGAGATTGGACAACCATTTGTCTGAAATGGTATATACAGTAGTGGCCAAAATTGTGGAAACCTTTTGGGAAAAGTGTATTTTTGAGGTTTGATGGCTAATAACACCACTTTTTTTGGGAGTAGTACCATAAAATTATATATCAATGGAAAGATAATTTAATCAAGAATGTAATGCAACATAGTTTGTTCAATTATCTGTACCGTATTCTATGAAAAGTTATAGCCAAATAACCAGAAAAAGGAAGCATAACTTGCTTAGGTTGATATCAGATAGCTTTCCTTCATCTGATTGTAGCCAATGAGCATGAGTGTTTAGAGAGCCAATCAGGTGTCATCTTGTTTTGGCAATGAGCCAATCAGATCACAGTAGGATTCAGTTATTGATGTCGTGTATTGAAGCTGAGAGGAGGACATTTGTCAGTGTGTTATGTGATCGCTCTCAAGATGGATAGGTTTTTTGTGTTCTTTAATTTAGTGAGCTTGTAAAACATAATAAAATTAAAGTAATGGTGCAAAGAGTTGACTGGTCGCCCAGAAAGCGATGTAAAATAGTATTATTAAGTGAACAAGGCTACAATTATAAAGAAATTAGAAGAAAAATTGGTGGAAACTTAGCCAAAGGTGGCATTTCTACTATACACTTTTCCCAAAAGGTTTCCACAATTTTAGCCACTACTGTAGGGTTTACTGCCTGAACAGGGTAGTTGGACTAGAACAGGGGTCTACAACCTTGACAACTTTAAGACTTGTGGACTTCAGTTCCCAGAATTCCTCAGCCAGCACCGCAAGTCTTAAAGTTATCAAGGTTGCAGACCCCTGGACTAGAAGACCTCCAAGATCCCTTCCAACTCTGTTATTGTGTTATACACTGTGTGTGTCAACCCATGAAAACCCAAGAATTCAACACACGGTTTCCACTTATCCTTTAATGATTTCAAAAAAATGGAGACAGAGAAGGTTGAGAAGTAAATTCATTCATTGTAAAATTTGGGGAGGTCATCTCCTAAAACAGCTTCTTCCTTGACGCCGTCTTTAGTGATGGTGACGAGGTAGATGATGCCCCCACTGGACCCGTCCCGGACCATTGCCAAGGCAATAGCTGGAGAAGGGAACAAAGGGGTTATAATCAGCCACGGAGCAGTCGATTGGACCAAAATAAAGAGATGAGGCAGAGCTACACCAATCGCGTTCAAGAGAAGGTAGCTTGGCTCTTCCCAGGGGTGAACATTCTCCAATCAGCTAAGTGCCCACCCACCACATGTCCTGACTTCATCTGAGAAACAAACAAGTTCTTGTCCTTCTCAAAAGAGGAAGCTGGATTTTTGCCACTGTTCCTATTAGTTTCGTTTCCAAGAAGCTTCCTGACCTTGCATGAGGCCCATATGTTTTCTTAGAACAGGGATCTTCAAATGTGGCCTGTTTATGACTTGTGGACT